TTCAGCGAGCAGTGTCTTCTGAGCATTCAATGAAGGGGGGAATATATTGTAATGGATTGGTGATGTAACTGATCACCCCTGAGATCATTGTCATGATTCTATGAACCATGAGAAAGAATTCAATTCTTTAAGCATATTTTTCGTTTAGTTTTTGCTGTCTTATTTTGTATATTGTTTAAATTTTGTTTCCATCTAATTTGTACGTTTTTTTGCCTCATTGTATCAGAATTTAACAAACATATGGTTTGCGAAAAAACCCATAAACATTGTATTCTCTCATGCACAAATCTGTGCATGTTTCTCAAGCTTAATATACAAATTCTATTGATTATTGCTTCATTACATGCTTAGTAATTATTTAAGAATGTATTTTTTAAACATGCCAGTTGTTGCCCTATAACGGATTGGGCAGTGGAGAGCTCTCTTATCTGAGGACAAGGAATTCTTACCCTAGGACGTTAACATACAAGGGGCCTTTAATGATACGAACAAAACTCCAAAAACTCGAGAAAACATTTCATTTAAATGAATGTTCAGATCAGCTTTTGAGAAAAGTGTACAGCTTCATCATTATCATGATCTGTAACGCAATTCACCGCCGGCCAAATTAGCATTTTATGGCAGTGATTGTGCTCTGAAAACTCATCCGCTGATTGCCTAGACAAGGTAAAGGAGACCTTTTGTGTGGAGCCAGTATGCACAAGTGAATTAATCTGTCTACATTTCATGGAGCTGTTGGCTTGTGTCGCATACAAACCACCACTTGTTGAAATACCATTGAAAAACACTCACACATACATTACAAGTGCTTGTCAGCCACCATTGTGCACGTATCCCGATTTCATGTGTACTGGAGGGGTTTTTTTTCACTTCCCCACCCTCCATGCCCCCCCCGGCCACCCTCCCCCCTTTTTTTAAAAGCAGAAAAAAATGTTTTTTTAGACGAGCATTAGGGGGTTCTGAATTCAAAAGCTCCTGGTGAAATCTTTCGTTTATATTTGCTCTTAAATGTTATCAGATTTGTTTTCCCAGCCATCTCTCTGTTTACAAGCAGGCCGTTTGTTAGCTGCCAAAAAAAGAGCAGAAAAGGAGAGAGAGAAAAAAATCCTAAAAACTAACACACTACCTGCGAAAGCAAACCGTGGCTGGTCAGAAAAAGCATCAAAATTCTTCCAGAATCGCATGTCAATACAGTAAACATTCTCGCTGAGCGAGCGAGCGGAGGAGGGAAGAAATAAGTCTCTGTGTCGCAGCTGACAGCCCTTGTTCGGTCATGCAATGGCTCCGTTGTTTTCCTCATTTCGGTGAAATTAGTTGTAATTTTCAATCTCGTACACACGCACACGTAAAATCCATCGCGCGTAGTATTCGAGACACGTTTATCCGTTTAAAAATATGTTGCAAACATAGTGCGTAGCATTGGGCAGAGCGAGCCACAGGCAGCCATATGCCATGACAAACGCAGGGTTTATTTTCCTAGCGCTCCGTGTATGTGTAAAACTGCTGAAGTGCATCATGATGTCAAGTGCCTCTGCAGGCCACCCAGGTTGAGGATGAGGTGGTGGGTGGGTGGGTGCCTGGGTGGTTGGGAGGGCGGGCGGGCGGGCTAGCGGGTGGGTGGTTGTGTGACTGAGAGAGCGAGGGAGGAGGAGGGGAGGGGGGCGACGCGATGCTTGGAGCGGTGAAGACCGAGGGGGGCTGATTAAACTACTGCTTCGGGGCACAGAGCAGGGAACACACGAAGGGTGGAGCAGGGAGGGGGGAGGAAAGGCACGGGGGGGTGGTGGGGATTCTTTTTTTGGGAGCGTGCCGAACGATCGGGGAGGGGAGCAATGGGGCGTGGGGAGCATGGGGGACATCATGTGCTCACGGCAGCGAGCCAGTTAGAGACCTGGCCCGGACAGCAGCTAGACATCTGCTTTCCCAGGTACGCGGGCGTCTATTAGGCCTCGCCTGATTGCAGGGAATCTCAGAATTGTTGGTGGAGCGATTCATCAATAATTCATTTAGAGCTCTAGGGCGGTGAAAGGTTGGTGAATGGTGGGATAATGATAGCCGCCGAGCGCGCGTAAGTGACTGGGAGGGATGAATGCAGATATTGATGGCGCTTGCTCGCACTCCCCCGGGGCACATCACGGGGTGGAACTCACACCGCGTCGCACCGGACAAAGGGCAGGTCTTTCGCCCTCTGGTTGCGGCACCACTTTCTCTGTGTGGCGCACAATGGCCAATGCGGTTGGTTGGTGGACGGGAGCGGGAATTGGGGGGAGATTTATGGGGGACACGGGTGCTGTTGTGCGTATTTTTTTTTTACCAAGCAGAGAGATGGGCGTTAACCACCGAAAATATGACCAAAAAATATGTAACAGGATTGAAATCTGTTAACAATAAGGTGGAGCAAGCTGTCCGGCAGCTAACGTGTGGAGAGACAATTGAAAACAGAAGCAATACAACCTTACCCATGTGACCTCAGCAGAATCTCTAATCCAAGCCCCTGTCACGTACTGCTAATTCATGTTTTCAGCAGGAACATTTACAACAAAAAATGGGGACGTCAAGATTGCGTTAACGCATTGCTATGTACACACAAAGTGTTTCTGAGCGCATACGCCCGCACGCAAGCACCCTCAGAACGCTTGTGTTTATTGAGCGAATGCAAGCCCAAGTTTGTAAAAGTGTGGATTTATAATATTTCACGCTGTTTTGTTTATTACGTTCACAGTGACGAGTGTGTGCAAGTTTTACACGGTCAGTAAAATGCCACGTTTTGGGGAAAAAGAGGAACCCATGTTCATATTAAACAGTTGTTCTCATAAACAAAGCCATCAGCAGTGCACTATATCTGATGTGCACTCGGACAACAACAACAACAACAAAGCCTCAAACAAAAACTTCCGCTATCAGTTTTTCATACATTGGCAAAACAAATAAACCCTGTGTGCCCTAACGCGCAATTTATTTTTTGTCATAAATAATCTTTTCGAGAAAGTAATTAAAATTCACTGCCCGCTCTGTCGACATCATTCACGCGAAAAATGCAGCCAAGCTAACAAGAACGCGAGCGCTTAATTTCTCATAAACTAACGAGCAACAATCAATGCTCGCTTCAATGCCGGGTGCTTTTTTTAAGTACTTGGGAGTGAGACCAAGCGACGTCTCATGCTCGCTTGTGGGTATCACGGAGTGTAATTCAGCGTGGGGGGGGGGGGGCCGGGGGCGGGGGGCATGTGCATCTTCAGAACTGAAGAAAACAAAAAAGCGAAAATAAATTCTTCGGAATGCTTCTAAATCAACGCTTACACCTGTACATCCCCACCCACCCCTCCCCAAGTGAGCCTTCACAGAGGCCTGGCACGCGCTCGTAATTGGCTCCAGGGAACCCGGCGTCAAGTGGGTCACGGGGTCTGTTTTATTCTTTTTTTAGCGGTGGGTGGTGTGAAGTAATGGTGGTGGGGTGGTGGTGTTATTTTTTTTATAAGCGGTCCTCACCTCATCCCTCACCTCGCTCGCATGCTCACCTTAGATGTGATCCTGGGTCATTTTGTGGTATGTGTGGAAAAAAAATACCTTTGAGGTGGTGGGGGGGGGGGGTGGTGTGTTGTGGGGGGTTTGTGTGGTGTGGGGGGTTGGTGTGGTGTGGGGGGGGGTGGGAGTGGGGGGGTTGGTGTGGTGTGGGGGGGTGGGAGTGGGGGGGTTGGTGTGGTGTGGGGGGTTGGTGTGGTGTGGGGGGTTGGTGTGGTGTGGGGGGTTGGTGTGGTGTGGGGGGTTGGTGTGGTGTGGGGGGTTGGTGTGGTGTGGGGGGTTGGTGTGGTGTGGGAGGGTGCGAGTGGGGGGGTGGGAGTGGGGGGGTGGGCCTTGAGTCTGGCACCGGAAATGGTGGCTCCCCCGTCGAGGTGCAGGTCTGCCGGGAGTTGAGTCGGAGAGAGAGAGACCTGCTCGGGCTGAGCCGCAGATAATCCACGGGTTTTTTGCTGAATGAACACCATCCTCTGTTATAACTTCTTCTTTCATTGCCTTTTTTTTTGCTTTTGTTTTAAGTTCAAGCTGCTCTCCTCCTTTTGCCTACCCCCTTAAACCTAAGCACTTCACCCCCCTACCAAGTGACAAAAGCTGATCCTGCTAAGTCTTAGGACCCCTCCCAACCTCACCCCTACGCTCTTCCTTTCTCAACATTAGAGCTCTCCAAATGTTGAAAACTAAAGCCCCCCTGTCCCCCCCCCCCCTGCAAAGCACAAAGCTCCCCTCCCCTCCCGTTGCTCAGCCTTAAGGACCCCCCGGTGTTTTAGTCTGAAGTGCCCTCGAGCAAATACTTTGCCCACCGCACATCCAATTACTTTCTCTCGCGACCGGCGAATGCACTCGGGGGGGGCAATCGTGCCAAAACTACCCTCGAGCCTTTTACCCCCGCGGGCCCTGAGCTTCCCCGCGTTGCATGTCGGAGAAAAAAAAAAGCGGTAATCTTATCACCACCCCGTGCCGTTTTTCAAATCGTTTGTTCCGGGCGAGCAGCGTACCTGCCGGGAGCGGTCCCGGCCAGCATGGAGGATTTCTGCGCCCTCTACTCATCCCGGTCACGGGACGGAGCCGGAACGGCGATGGCAGCGGCGGCCACCGGAATTTGCTTCCCGGATTTCGGAAGGCGGACGTCCGGGCCACAAGGGCCACTCTCCAATCACCTGGAGGGGGTGTCCGCGGACAGCGGAGAGGCGCAGCATCCGAGCAAGTAAGGGGGAGATTTCGCTGTTGCCGTTGGGGGGGTCTACGTTCCCGTGTGTGTGCTCTGTTGATATGGTGCAGGGTGTTTTCTCTAGAATCTGCTGGGAGAATTAATTGTGTTTTGCCCACGAAAGATTGATGCCCACGCACGCGATGCATGCGCTGTAATTGGATCGTCCATGTAAGAATCGTTCATTTAATGTCAATTTCAAGCACACGTCATGCAAATATGACACAATGAAAGTTACGTTCAAGGAAGACGACACAAAAACAACTGACCAACATGAATTTCAAGCTTCATTAATGACGAAGAACACTTTAAGGTTGAGTGGGCACCATTATATTGCATCACACTCCAACACTTTCATATGTTGAAAAATCAAGGCAATGACATCAATCAAGCCCACTACAATTGTGCATCTGAATGTACAAGAAACAAATTTCCCTTCTCCCACGAAGGTATTTGATATATGCATTTGGATGACATATATCGTGATATCCTTCACCCCACATTATCTACAATGTGAAGTTGACGTCAAACAGAAGCTCCTGACCGCGACATATGTCGCACAATTCAGATCGCTGGCTCGTGTCATTTTTTTGTAAAATAAAAAAAAAATGCCACTTTATGCTACAGGATAAAAAAAAAGAGAAATGCTGCCAGTTTATTCAACGGCGGCATGCGGCTGCGCGGGAAGCGATTAGCAGGAGAGGCATCGATGAAGGCACCAGCACGTGGCATGCGCCGAGCGTGGAAGAGCGGGGGCCAAAAACACCACCCTCTAAGAGCAAATTAACAAGAGGCTTTTTTTCGAATTCGATATAAAAAAAACCTCAATTTCAAGAACCGCAATGCACGTGAACGAGAGAGGCTTTTTTCGAATTCGATATAAAACAAAAAAAAAACTCAATTTCAAGAACCGCAATGCACGTGAATGAATGAGTCGGTGGTCCCGAATAGATAACGGTCGCGAAGCAAGTCCTTCAAGAGCCGCATGCGGCCACGGGGCCGCAGGTTGCCGACCCGCTGCTCCGGAGCGACTCTCCGGAGCTCGCTCTACTGGAGGCCCTTGAGCCGTCAGTGACTGAGCGAAGGCGACTGCGTGGGCTGTTGCGGCTTGATGCTATTCCCGCAGAAAGCGCCAGCGGGAGGGCTTGTGCCTGCTGCTGGTGGCGGACAGGCTGCGGCAGCCAGTGGGGGCTGTGCCAAGCCGCGACGGCACGCAGCGCCTCTTCATCCTGGAGCGCGAGGGTGTGGTGCGCGTGCTGGCGCCGCGATCGGGCATCTCCGGCGAGCCCTTCATGGACCTGCACAAGGTGGTGCAGAGCGGGAACAAGGTGAGGTGCATTGCATGCACTGGGCGGAGCAACAGCGACTGGCCTCCTGTGAACTGTGATGGGTTGGGGGGAGGCAACCCTGGGCTCCATCTTAGCCAGGTCTGCCAGGGTTAGAGGCATGGACAATAGTTTGGGGAACGGGCTTACCGTATCCAGTGTACCACTGGCTAATACCGTGGCTATGACAATTTATATATATTTTTTTTTATCTATCTTGAAAATTAATTTCTTTAAAACAGTTTTTGGTGTGTTTAGTTTGCTGTCCTTCCCCCGCACCTCCGATTGGTATGGTTGGCTGCGTACGGTGCGAAAGGAGTTCAACATATACGTGTACGCATGATAGCGTTCACCTGCCACCCGAAAGGAGTTCAACATATACGTGTACGCATGATAGCGTTCACCTGCCACCCGAAAGGAGTTCAACATACACGTGTACGCACGATAGCGTTCACCTTTCACAAACTCCGGTGGACATAGCGAGCCAGAAAATATTCGGTGAGAAATTAAGGCCCGAAGGGGAGAGGTGCTGCTCTGCCAAGCCAGGACAGCGCCACTGAAGACGTCACCGTCCTCTGATAGGTGGTTCGAAGGCAGGGTGTGTGCATCATCAATCAAGCAGCACCACCATTGACTCGGTGAAGGAAATTCCACATTCATATGGCAGGGGAGAAGCCCATTCATAGGATAGCCACTGTGAAGACGGGCCGCGTTAGTCCTGGACAGGAACGTGAACGTGTAACCTTTCGATTGTGAGTCACTCGAACAATGCCACATGACCAGATGAGTCAATGTTAAGGTCACTAAACAGCCACTTATTGCCACGTGTAAAACGATACTGCTCGTGTATCTGATAGTATCAGTGGCATTGATTCTCCTCCGGATAATGAGGTATTAGTGAACCCTTCTAGATCTCACTGGTGACTCCAAGGTGATGGGGATGAATGTCCGGATAATCCATTGCCACGATGAGAGTGATGCCACGAAATGTGGCTGGTTGCAGTAATATTTATACAAGTAATATTCACTCAGCCTAGAAAATACTGTATGGTATATATATATCAAAGGCCATTTGCAAACAGGAAATTGGATGGCATGCCCGTTAACATGTTTATTACGTATTTATATTTTATGCCAAACAGGTGACAGCCAAATAAGACCAAAAGTCTCTTCATCAAGGGAGACCTGCATCAAGAAGATATGATGCTGTAAATATGTAAACAAATCAGTGAGTCATCTAATACATGTTCATTATGGAGCAAATTATTAAACATCAATTAATAAATTATTAATAACAATAAGTTGTCTGAAAAGATTCAGTATGAATACGTAAAAAATAGACACTTTATTTTAAGTAAAATACATTTAGCATGGGGTTACAACTGAGTTTAAATGGCAAGCAACCAGTGCAACGAGAATTAACTTTCTACAGCAGCAATTATGGGATACATGAAGATGTTTTGTGGAAGAAAAAAAGAAAAAAACATTTCACGTCATGGTGATTCGAGACGAAATCTTGAAGGTTGGCGAGCAAAATGCAAAAAAATGAATGGATAAATAACATAATCAAAGTTATATTTGTTTACCTCCTGACACGCGGGGCTCCCCAGAGAGAAGGCCGGTGTAATAATAATCGCCTCGTGCCAGCGTGCCCTATTCCTTATGGGCCATTACTTTTCAGGGTTTGACACGAAATGTTCCTGCACATAAATTGGACAGCGCTTGGGCAACCCCCCCCCCACACACACAGACAAGACAATGTGAGATTAATGTCGGGGCATGATTTGTATGCTAATCTCTGCGCCCCACAGTTAACAGCCAGATAACATCTAATGATCACTGCTGCACGATACGGTGGGTGGGTGTGTGTATATAGAAGCACTATTTATTATTGCGATAAGATTGTACCGTTCTTTATATATTGTACGAATCTCCTGGAACCCATTAAAATTATCCGCATGCAAGTGGCGATTATACTTTGTTGATAATGTGCAAGGCAGGGCATTCCAATTCAATAACTCTGTGTGTCTGACTGTGATTCCAACTTGATTGAAATCCGGTCCTCATGTGTTAGCCCATATATGTGTGTGACATGTTGAGTAATACACAATAATAACTGATGATGTTCAAGGGTAGCCAGTTGAAACGTTCATCAATCAAACATTCTTCCGGAAACATCAAGGAAAAGGCTGGTTGGCTCAAAATACCGAGTTATTTATTTATTTAGTGATGGTAAAAAAATGTATTATTATTTCACATTTAATTATGGTTTTTGCATTCACTAAAGTGGAAACGTGCATTAAGTTGAGTACTAATGATGAACATATTTGGTGTTTGTTAATAGTGTAAGATTACCCAGGTCACAACCGTATGACAAAACCTATACTTGAGTTTTCACATTGAGTATTAACTTAGTTATGAAACCCGCTACGGTACCTTCAATTATAATTTTATTATCTTATAGCATTTGGTAGAGTTCATAAAGTGAAACTCTGACCTCGTTATACCGTAGGCCCAGCCCATGTCCGCAAGAGGCATCCCTTGCTCGTTAAGTCGTGCATCAGCCCTACAGATTCTATGGGATGGCCACGCTGCGGCGTGTCTTGATCTTACAAAGTCCGGTCATGACCCTTCAATAAAAAATAAGTCTCGCGTGACGTGGCAGCGAACATGCAGAGTTTTCACAGTCCCCTCTCAATGCATATTGCTTCAGAAAACCCAAGTGGTTTACCCATCCCAAAGGTTAAGGGTCAAAAAGTGGCGTGGTACACCGCACACGTCCGCACTCGTCTGTTGAGGTCTAAAAATTGAATTCCGCAAAATGCGTAGGGGTTGTGCAGTGCATAGGCTGTGTCTGTCTCTCAAGCTCACCTAACAACCACAACAACAACCCATCCACCACGAAGTGACAGTGATGTCACCGTAGTGGTTATGCCAGACTGGGTGCTCTTTTGAGTCCATGTGAAGTGTCGAAGGTTTGATTGCCGTAGTGCACGGTACAGACCCAGGTGTTATGGGTTAACTGACTGAGATGACTGTAAGATTTACCACCTGCTTTCCCTTCTGAACCACCTTGCAGTCTTATGCACTGCTGATTGTTGTGAGCATCCCTCCTCCACTGCCCTTTGTGGCTGGAGGTAAGGCCCACTAAGCTATTTTTTCAGAAGCGACCTGGTGACAAATGATAGCTCAATGAAGTGACTTATCACATCGAAAATTTAGAGCCATGGCCAAATACTCTAAACGTACGTTGATTCTAAATGTGGAAGCAAAACCGGAGAACCTGGAGAAAAATCCACACGACCACAGGGAGAACATGCAAACTCCAAATATACAGGCGTCAACGGTCGGGATCGAACCCACGGCCTCCTCTATGCCAGGCGAGGTAGTCAACGTCTCCTGGCCACCGTGGCGAGATGTTCGATCTTCAGCCGCCTTCGCACTCAGCTCTCACGTCTTCACGTGGTGCCGCTATTAAAATCAGCCTGACACTACTTCTCTTGCCGCTCCACCCGCTGTGTCTCCCTGCGTCATAATTGCCGTGCTGATTTGCGCACGCTCTAAATGAATTGCCGGCGAATTGCCATTGCAAAAATACAGTAGGGCCGCCCTGTGTCAAATCATATTGTGTTTATCAAATGTAAGTGTTGTAATTTTCTTGTTAATTGGTGATAAATGAGACAATGGCTTGTTTAATGGTCTGCGGGGTTGTTTTAGCATTACTTGTCCACTCAATCTATTTCTGAGGGCCAGTTTATGTACCGTTTAGATGAGACACGACCACACCCACCTTCACATAAAAGTCACATAACACTACATGTACGACAACACAACATGGCTGAGTGTATTGAAACATTAATCATCGTTAACTATGATCTATCCACTGCTGAATGAAGGCTTCGCCAAGCAGTAATCGATGGTGGACTGGCATCAATATGTTAAATTATTATGCGGAAGACAGCTGGTGCATGTCGAAAGCTGACATAAAAAATAAGAAACATTTTAAGACTTTGATCATTTACCATTCCTTTCTCAAAACAAATTCTGACCACCACTCCGATGTGCAAGATTTGTTTTAAGGTAGGTCTTATTAATAATACGTGCGTTGCATTTTCCCAGATAAGAATTGTGCATTCACCAAATGAGTTGGACCATGTATGAAAGCCAAAGCAGCGGTTATTTATTTTACTGAACGCACACGACACATGATGAAAGCCACGCGTTAAAGCTTCATTATTGCTGTATTGTTATTCGTATATTTTTATAACAGGTAACACAACAAGGCGTGCACATGTCCTGGCTGGTGATCTATAACTGATCGTGCGCAGGCAAAACCAATTTGGACCAAAATGTAGCTCTCCGTGCCCCTGGCGAGCTCCTCCGCTAATGCCGTCTGGGGAGTCGTTCATCATCGGCATTGCGGTAAAGAAAGCAGCCTTCGCTAAATCGGCCACGGTTGCGTCCTAGCCTCGGCGCAAACGATCGCGCTCTCATCCCCAGCGCCGCCTGCTTTGTATGCACGCCGCACGCCGGCTGCACTGGGCCCGTAGGATTTACTGCTTCCTCTAAAACAGATATAGCGCCTGTCCCGTTAACGCTTCTAGGCGTGCCTGGCGTGAGCAGTGCCACCAGGCCGAGGGCCCGGCACAGCGGCGAGTTTATACCTCCCAGCACCGTTCCACAACCGGCGTGGCCAGCGGCCTCCAGATATCTGAACGGGCCCGATAGAACCGATGCCGCCGCTGAAGAGTCACTCAAGAAAATAATTTTCATCCCGCCACACATGTTGTCATTAGTTTTTTTTTAAAATTATAATTACGAGTAATATTTTGGGGATTTTTTTTCTTCTAGATGCGCTTTAGTAACAGCCTGAAGGTAAAGAGTTAAAAGTCGCATGGTGTGGAAGAGGAAGAAGCTTTAAGAATAAATGCATTTCTCATGTTTACCTGGAGCTAATGCTATAGCTGCAGGCG